GGCTGGCAGGCTGATGGGCATGCTGGACAACTGCTTCACAGTTGGCAAGGCTGGTGAAAGAGGAGGAAGCATAAAGGAAAGGGAGAGAACAGGGCTGTAGATAGAGGAAGAACAGGGAATGGGGTCACTTGAGTTTATTGCTCATAGGATATCAAGCAGCTCACTCTCTCCACCCCATTTAGTAGTCTGGCTATTCTGTTACTTCCCTCCCTATTTCATCAAAACCACCATCTTTGGGAGGGTTACTACAAAAACAATGTCCCTCATAAAACAATCCAGCAGCCCTGTTTTGAGTCTTGACTTAATCATACCACTGAAGCAATGATGATGAAGTGAAGCATTAAGTAAGCTTAAATCTTGTATTTCTTTTATATGGCACTGGCAAAGCTGAGGCTACATTAAATGTTGCTTTAACGCTGATATGCATGAAATGTTCTGCTTCGTTACAGGTTGCTTTGCAGGGGGAAAGCCAAGGCAACAGTCTGTGGAGCAGTACAGTGAGAGGTTAACCATGTCTGCAGTACGAACTGCCCCTCATAAAAGTGTTTTCCTTAACTTTGTCAGGTTTCTGCCATTGCTGAGTCATCTGGATAAAGCAGTGCTCTCGCATTCTTTATTCTTGGGTAATACAGCATAACAAAACTTCCATTTTTAGCTTTGTCGTTAATTAAATTAAGCCACAGTTCAGTGAGCTTTTGAAATGCTTTAAAAGTAACAAAAATCGACAGAGAGTGATACTTTCTCCCGGCAAGGCCTCCTTTATACCTTCTCCCTGCCGTGAGGTGGGAAAAGAATGGGTTAAACCTGTCTGTGGCCCACATCTGGGAATCATTTGAAACATTCCACGAGGCTTACCACATGTTTTCAGATGGACTAAATCCTGCAAAAGGCTCGGCTGTCAGAGGTTTGAAAAATCTTTCTTTTTTTTTTTTTTTGCCAAGAGGGGAAAAAATGAGAAAGAGAAAATTAAACAGTATAATAGGGTTTGTCTCTTGCAGGTGAGATTAGGCAGGGATGTGGGTCAGTTGCAGAGCTTTTGTATGGCGACAGTGGTGGCAGTTTGGAAATGTGTATCTGTGTCATCCTGTATGTTGGTGGCATGTTTTCTGAATGTGTTCTGAAGTGAAAGTTTGTTTCTTTAGAGCCCTTTGCAGTTCAAAGGAGGCTTTGGGACTTGGCTGACTGTTTCCATGCATCTGATACAATCTCCTCTACACTCCCTTTTTTGCCCTCACTCATTTTTTCTTTATTCTTCACAACCTAGCACTAAGTGAAACAACAATAAAGCTATGAAACCTTTCAGCACGCCTGCCCAGACACACTTACAGACATGGGTGGCACATTCACTTACTGGCAGGGTAGCTACTTTTGAGCATTCAAATGGTGTGATAGCTTCATCTTATTGTGATATAACCAAAGAAGCTCTTTTAATAAGACCAGCTGTGAGGCCTTCATCTTTGCTGTGAAGTGCTTCCTGACGGTTTCACCATTACACTCTACTATGGATGACAAGCTAATAAAGGGGACTCACACAGTGCATGATGAATGGTTGGCTGCTGGGAGTTCCAAATATGTGGTCTTAAATAAGCAGCAGCACACTGAACGCATTAAAAATCAAGGGATTCTGCAAATGGTGACTGACCATCAAGACTTGGCGCCTTCACCGGTCTCTTTCTTATAACAGGTTGTCACTAAATGTATAGCCAAGAAAGGGGGATAAACTGCTGGTCTTTGTAACGTCAGATCACAGGGCTCTCATGTTGCCTCGGTGCATTAGGTCCCCCTGTACAATTGTCCACTGACATTTGGGGGAACTGGAAATGTTTCACTTGGATGTGGGACCACTCTACAAAGAGGAGGTGCTATTTGTCTCTGCCTATTTCTTTGTAAACCAGGCCGTGACGTGCTGGGGGTCAAAGCATTGACTGAGCTAACTAATGTTAGCACACTTTGGAAATAGCACAAGACTTACACTGGACAGTATATAAGGGACACAGTGTCGAGGGTGGAACCTGAGAGAGACACACTCCACTACAGTCCTGTAACAACAACCATCTACAGGGACTATTTTATATTAGGGTTATGTCTCTATATTTTTGTCCGCCCCAGCCACATACATGAGAGGGTCAGAAAATTAGGAACACCTCTGAAATATAATGTAGTCCAGTACAACACCACGTTTAACTATGACCTCAATAATAAACATAAAATTAAATGTATACATTTATGACAATTTCACCAAAAACTGAAACATTTTGAGCTTCTTAGTCACAGATGTTAAGGTGGAAGTGCTGCATTGAAGTGCATGAATTGTACAGGTGTACCTAATAAAGTGGCCGGTGAGTATCTAAGTCCTAAAGTGTCAAACGGTTTCTCTATAACAAAGCAATGAGGCTGGACATGTTTACAGGCTGTGACAGTTGAACCAAAGAATGATTTATACCCTTTTGCTGTTTAATTTTTTTAGATGACTGAAAAGATAAAGTATGCCAACTATTTACAACAGAAAGCTAATGTTATCACACAATCTGGAAAATGTTATCTAGTAGGAATATTTGAAACCTCAAGGGATTTGGACTCTCAGCTTGGGAACCACCAAAGTAAGGGATTTAGAGAAGGCAGCCTTATAAATCTTGGATCTTTGTAGCATGTCCAAATTTTTATTTTGTGTCTTTACAGTAGTAGCCAGACACAAAGCTACTGCCTGTGCTTTAGAAGCCACTGTTTCATGCCTGGCATTGTGAAGGTTTGCCTGCATACAGGGAGTCTTTGTAAAGCATTACAAGGAACATGCATCAAATGGCTTTTTGCTACGCTTGATATGTCCTTGTGGCTATATATAATGTAGTCTACTGTATATATGTATCACAGGTTAAAGGGAAGCTATACTAGACTAGAAAACCATTAAGATTCAACTTGAGTAGCGTCCAGTGTAAACCTGGCTACAAGTGCAGGATGCAGCTGGGCTAAGGAGACCCCAGAGGCCTTACTATCTAACCTAGAGATATGTAGAGGAAACACAATGCTGCACAACACAAATCCCCACACTGAAATTGAGTGAATGATGGCAAGCCCATCCAGTCATGAACACATGCTATGCACAAGCATGCTGGGCCCATTTCCACCTGTCAGAAGGCAGTGAAATAAGACGGCTTCATCTTTTTAAACTATTCTGTGACAGCAGCTTCTTCCACCAGTACATACTTTTAGCATTTTATGACCCCCCCCCCATCCATGGTTACTTGCAGGCCTGTGTGTCCCATGTCACATGCATTCCTCACCTGTGTGGTTATGTGTGACAACTGACACAATATAGTGCCACTCACAGCTTTTACTATATATAAGAAAGCCTTAAAGGCAGCAGGAGAAACAAGGATCATGTCGCTTGGACTGTCTCTGTAGCAGTGTCAGCGCTCTGAAGAAAATATGAAAAGCAATGTGGAGGCAAAGTACGTCACTAGCTGTCTTGTGGCCGTTTGTCCAGTCATATGGGACAAGGGGTTTCACATCTGCCACCTGTCACAAAACTTTGGTTTCTGGGGTGGAAAGCTACTGAGCGTGGCAGTCATATCTGAGAGGCAGGGGAGAAGCTGGGCTTCCCCCTGGCACACAAACTCCTCACATGCAAACACACTCATGGATGCATGCATGTCTTTGCACCACTGCTTGCCCACCTGTGTGCAAGCATATACACACACGTGAGTATTCATGGGCAGATCAGGGCTGCAAATTAGTTAATTTTATTATTACTGTTTGTGTTTTTAATTAACCAAGTTTGCGCATAGTCGATGAACTGTAAAAGACAAATACCATTTCAGTAACACAGTTTGGTTCGTGAGCTTTTTTTGTTTGTTTGTTCTATTCAATTATATTTAATGAACCGTGTACTTATATATTGTATCAGCTGTTCAAACATCCAACCAACAGTTAGCTGAGCTCATTTTCATGTGCATTCCCTTTGGATGCACAATTAAAATCAAGATGTAGATTAAAAACAAGATACAAATTATGGAAAATCTTAAAAAGCAGATAAAGCGTGTAATATAAAAGTTAAATGCAGGGTTGGTGAGCACACAGTTGACAAATATATCATCTGGTTTTAAAGGTATTAATAAAGGACGTCTGTAAGCGATCAGATGGAAAGTTCCTCTGGATGGTTGCTTTAAGATGCCGACTGCCCAAATGAAGTGTGACAAAAAGGGTACAGCACAATCTGTGATGGAGGTTATTTTAGAGACTTTAATGATGTTCACAGCAGAGGGGGGAGGCACAGTCAGGCGATCTTTAAAGTTTTATAAATAAGAATCATATCTAAGAGAACCACTAGTCCAGAGCAGTTTCTGCAGTATTTAAGGGTGATCATTTCAGCTGGAATTTTTCCCAGAAGCTTTTAAACTTGACAAACAAGTAAAACTATTGTAAGGAAACCTACAGTTTTTATGGGATACTTCTAGAAAACCTAAGTCATATGTGAGAGTTTGCTGCTGAAATAAATGGATTTATTAGTCAAAATGTGCAGAATAAGTACTCGCAGTAGCTTTTGTGGTTGATTGTTTAATGTGTTGTGTGATGAATCCATGAGTGTTTTGTTCTTACATTTGAAACGTAGCATGGTATCTGCTTCCGTGAGAAAAAAGGGATGTTAGGATTTTCATCTGTTAAACCTCCTCACATTTTGAAGCCTGTGTAAAATACCTATTAGGTTTGGCTGTGTTTTCTTTATTTTGCCAACTTGTGTTTGGTTGCTTTACTTTTTAACATATCACCTGTTACATAATCACACATTCACTGCCATTGAATTTAACCTCACATTAAGGCCAAGTATGAAGTCTGTTCTTTTGCAACACAAAACCCCCTGTGTCTTCCTGCCAGGCTGAGAATAGAGAAGGTATTTTGTGCATTGTTGGCAAGCATAAAAGACCAAAACGGTTTAAGGGGTAAAAGAAATTTAAAAACCGTGTTTTGCTTGTGGCATGGCTTGTTGTCAGCTGAGCAGAGAGCACATCTGGGAAGAGCAGGACATCCACTTCTGAGGACTGGCCCCACGAAAGGAAAGAGGCGGGGTCAGAGCTGGTGCTGGATTTCACAGCCACAGAAGGTGGTTGCAATGGTTGCCGTAGCAAAAGCCGTGCCAAACTTGCCTGCCCTCTGTTAGCGGCTCCTTGCCTCCTACCTACGGTTTCCCGGGTGGCAGCGTTCACCGAGCACCCTGGAGAGGAACTGTTTGGAGATTTGAGAGTCGGCAGAAAACTTTGAGAAGAGTAGCACCGCGGAGAAATTTGCGACGGAACTTCCAGCAGCAGCGGCCGGAGGGGACCGGGAGGAGGAGTCAACAGGTCCCAGGTACTGCCATCCGCTTGTCATCGACGGTATGTCAACATTTGACAGCGTGCGTCCAGGTCTCAGCCCCAACAGGAGGCTAACCGGGACCCGTGGTAAACCGTAGCGCTTTCACCTGGACGATTTTGAATGCATCATGTATGGCTACGGTCATGTGCAGGAGTGGGACAGCTTTATCACGCCGTTTCTTGTCAGACGTGCTGAATAAACAGAGTCCGAAACTACTGTCAAGTTGGTAATTCATGGTCACTGAAGAAGGCGCTTGCATTGTCGAAAAGAAAACACAATTGTGTGTTTTGGAGCTATACATTCAGGGGCTACGTATGTGAGGGCAGCTAGCATGCACAGCTAACGCTTGTCTAGCTTGTAAAGACACTGGTACATAATTCAGCCCTGACAGTTTCCTTGAACCAATTAATAAAGCTAAGCTGCTAACCAGGTAGCACGGTGCTTCAGAAAAGTGTCGGTTTGTGGAGGTAAAAACACGTAACCCGTGTGTCCGGGTGCATGTACCCACACCGACACGAGCATCGACAGGACAACGATGTGGAGAAATGTGCAGTTTCTTTACGTCGTGCATTTGCAAATTGACACCAGTATTGCTTCGTTGTGGGCTGCTTTAGGCTTGAGGTGAACTTTGGTCTAGTGCAGATAGCGATCATATCAGGAGCCCACTGGGAACGGATGAATGGCTGGTAGCTTACAGAGGGACAACCACAGCCTGCCTTCTTTGATTTGCTCTAATGAATACCTGGCAACTTGACGACCCGTGACACACACACACACGCATTCTTCTGTTGTAACAATACCCATAATGAAGGGTTAAAGTACCACTGCAAACTCATCTCTACCAATTTGCTAACACCCCTGATTAACCCTTGTTAAGATAATGTGCCAGTTTGAGGTGTCTGAGTCTCAGCAAATTAAATGTCAGGACTGTGTTATAACATCTAGGTTACACACCCTGCAGTGTCTTGTAAACCCACTGATCATGTTGCTTATTATCCTCCACTGAGGGATGTAACAAATACTTTCTAGATGTTTCCTTTGATTTGAGAAAATTGGTGCATGGCTTTATGCATTTGGCAAGCTACATATTTTATGATGGCTCAGTCAGCCTCCCCGATACTGGCTGCAGAGACATGGCAGATAATTTTTGTGGATGGTGCTGGATGAAAAAGATGCCCTTTCCTGTGACAACCTGTAACATTCAGGGCGAGTTGCATTAGGGGCCAAATCGCTCAGTGGGAATTTTGAAGTGTCTGAGGGTTTTCTAACCTTGTCACAGCCTCTGTGTGATGGACAATTAAATGTGCCGCCACCATAGTTGGGAAGGTTAGGGTTAGACCTGTTGTTTACATGCCCACGAAATGGTCACATATTGTAGTAATTGTTATAATAATCTTGTCATAACAATTTAAATCTGTCTGGCCATCTTGTGATGCTTGATCGCATGCCGATCACCGAGATCTGAAAGGTAGTTTCATGGTCTCTGTGTTAGAACATAGGTCATCTGAAAGGTATGATGTTGACATTCAAAAGTAAATCTCATATATTAATCTTGTTTATAGCAGCTCTAGTCACATTGTTTTTCAATCTGCCTCATCCTAGAGCAGAAAGGAGAATTTAAAGTAGTTTCTTGCAACAATAGATTTAAAACTGAAGAGCTTGTGTGTTTTTCTAAATGGTAAACTGCCCAGTTGTGTATATGAAGGTGCACTGGTGTTCTGTTATGTAGGACAAGGCAAGAGTTTTCAGTGATACTGTGAAAGCTTCTGTGGCAAGCGTCAACGGAAAGTTGGTTCTCTCCTTGTGTGAACAGTGCCAGTTAAAGGCCTCGTTTGTCTCTGTTTCACATGGTGCTAAATGTGTCATCATAGTGGAGGCTGTGGCACACTGACTTTGCCCCACCACCACCTTCCCCACCCCCTCACCGTGTCCCTCTCCTTCCTCTGCAGATCGTAAAGTGTGAATGACTCTGTAAAGGAAATTTTCTGCTGCTTTGGTCTTTCGAAAACAAAGTGAGTCAATAGCTCCTAACTGTCTGATTTATTTGTCACGTTTGATGACAGTTTTTGTTGCTCATCACCTGTGGAAAAAATGACTTTGCCAGATGAAAGGAGTTTTGTTTTTAAAGGTAAGATTTGCTCCCACTTAGAGGCAGTTTTGTACAGGAAACTGGGAGATTCAATCCGCTCTGCTAGATTTCTTATGTAGTTGATAGATTTCTCCAAAAGATATTTTCTTTAACTTTGCTGTGGGCTAGAATTGACTCTGTATGTTGAGTTCTGAAATTTTGAATGACTGGTTTTCACATAGTGTGAGTGCAGTATGCTTTTCCTTCCTCATATTATTGTCAGGTGTTCGAGATGGTGTCATGTGTACAGCTCAGTAGGGCACTTTATTGTTGAATCATGCAAACGGTTTTGATGTCAGTCAGAAGAAAGTATCCATGCCTACACAAACAACACATAAACCCCCAGAAGTAGCAGGTGAAAGAGCAGATTTAGTGAGCTTTGTATATTAAAAGTGAGGAGGAAGCATTCTGAGATAAGCCTGGCTAAATCTGGCATTGCACCTAGCTTTCTGTGAAGAAGTTCTCAGTGTGTCAAGTGGGTTGGTTGGTCGTCGCACAGCCTCGCCACAGCAGCCGTCTTCCCTTTTGCTCACGTGCCAGGCTGACTCATGAGGCTGTGGCTGTGCAGCACAAACTCTTCAGGCGCTGACAGATGAGACCTGCTCCCTACAATGGCAGGCCACCCTGGAGATGTCACCCAGTTCTCGCCTAACGGTAAACACCTCGACCCAGTCCCACCCACGCACTGTCAGATTTTGACTGCTAGTACTGTAGCTCTGTTTCTGGGGTAGGAAGTGCCTAAAATCAAAATGACACAGCACTCATTGCAAATGGGGAAAAAACCAGTGTGCACATATTTTTTGTTTGTTTAATGTGCTTTTGTTTACCAGATTACTCATGTTGCTATGGAGAATAGTTCAGTTTGTCAGCAAATAACATCTTGGATTTAACAGAGAAAATTATTTCTGCTAATGGAGTCCAATGCAATCAAGCATTGTAACGTTACCCTAATAAAATCAGCCTTGACCTATGAATCAGGCCCGGACTCCGTCAGAATAAGTAGGAATAAATTGGAATATTACAGTGGTTTGGCTGTGGTGCCCAGTGACGTAGTCATTGCCTTAGGGACCAGGGCGAGTGTGGGAAAAGCACTAGAGAAGAGGGTGGGAGCCGATACCAGGAGTGAGTATTTGAAGCAGAGTGGGATTTTTTTTTTTCTTTTCCAGAAAGGGGAATGGAGCTGCTGTGATGTTGGGATGTGGGAGCTCCACTCATGTTTGCCAGCAGCAGTTCGACAGGCCTGCTTTTGCATACTGATTTTCATTCCACTGCTTTCTTTGCAGCTGACCGACCTGCCCAGCCCTGCAAGCCCACCCCTTCCACCATACTTCCTCCTTTTATTCCTCTTTTTATAGCTTTGATGGTATTAAATAATCTTTATGTGTCAAAGTGCACAGCTCCCAGTGTTCATGTTCGCAGAGCAAGAGAGCAATTAGGTCAGAGTGGTAGAATAACTCGGTTTCATCCAGCTTTAAAGCAGCAGGGCACCTTGCTTCAACTCTTTATATTCACCTCAAACCATCAGTGAGATTTTCAAAGAGGTCCAAGGCCAGTGGGGTTATCAAAGCACTCAGAGAACTTTGTATCTCTCTGTTAAATAGACTTATAATAAAATGTCCCAGAATGGATCGCTGGTTGTGATATTTTAGGCTCCTCGCTATGTTAATTTGCCTGAAGAATCAGGCCACGTTTGTCTCCTTTTTCTCCTAATGAGGCTGGGCTGGAGATGCATATAACCCATTATCCTGGTTATTGATTTGGAATGTGTTTCAAGCTACAGATTGTTTTGGTAGGCCTTTGAAATCATGGACATATCTGCAGTTGTGGTACTGCTTTTTATTTAATTTATTTATTTTTAGACAAACAGATCTTCAAAATTGCATAAAATAATCCACAGTAAACCGTGTGTGTTGGTGCCCTTTATCCATTTGGCACACCATCTATGTGGCAAAGTTTCCCATAGAGTGTTGTCCCATGTTTGAGATAGCATTTCTTCCACTTGGAATGTGAACATTCTGGCCCATGTCACAGCCTTTCATTGCCCTCGTCACAGAGTTTCATACCATTTTCCACGCTCATTTCGTACCTTGGCTTTTTATGAAAGTGTCTCTACCCAGTCGGACAGTCCCCTGGCGTGACGGCTGACATTTCCAGTGAAAGAGCCCTATTGTTGGCTCTTAATCCCCCTCCACCCTCCTCTTCATAAAACAATGGTATCAATTGCTTCCACTGAGTGCATCCATAGCTCAGAGGACAGCCTGGCCGGGCCTGTTGGCTCGCCCGCCAGCCGTCCTACCACACAGCTAGCCTGACCTCTTCATTCGCAGTGGTAGCTCTGTGCCTACAGATTCCTCTTCAGGCACCTGTGCTGATATTATCTCTGTAGCATAAGCACCAGCCTTTTATTGTGACTGCACTGCCACCTCATAAATGCACAAATAATGGCTTGTGTATATATTTATTTTCCCAGGGAGACAGTAGAGCAGACCGGTGGCTTCGTCAGCCCCCCATCCCCCACCTCCTTAATGAATGGTCTCCATTCTATTTTCCTTCATTTTCCCCAGGACACTGCCATTAACTCTGACAGATGATATGTCCGCTCACTGAAACAGTGATCCTGAGCGTACTGTCACTGGAAATTGGATTTGCACACCCACCGCTTTGCTCCTTGTTTTTTTTTCTCCAGCTCTTCTTTCCTCTGTGTCCTAGTTTTTCCCGCTGCTGTCTCTCAGTCTGCACTGAGGGACGTGCTGTTAATATTCCTTTTAGAACTGTGCTGAACAGCTGAGCTGCCAAGTTAACCCTGCGCTGCCGTGAGTCAGACAGCTGGCCAGATAGCCGCTGTCACTTACACAGATGTCTGACCGACCAGTCTGTCTTTAACACCGGTGC